GGAAAAATTGAACCTATCACACAATCAACTCACAACGTTTTCCAAGAAAATTGTCGACAATCATTCAAATTTGAAGAATTTGGACATTTCGAATAATAAATCACAGTTTTAACTGCGGATATATTTGAAAATCTACGGAAATTGACTTTACTTGATTTGTCTAAAAAATTTATTGAAAAATTATACAATGAAACATTTAAAAATCAGGTGAATCTTCAGCGTCTGAATTTATCACAAAATAATATAACAGAAATTCAAACAGGAACATTTTCACGTTTGTCGAATTTGGAAAAACTGGATTTGTCACAGAATGCGTTGGCAATATTGAATGCTGATATTCTACCAACGCAAACAAGTCAATTGGATTCAATTTCAATCGCTAACAATCAATTACATGCGCTAAATGGATTCAACAGTTCTCGCCTTTCAAAATCAAAAATTGTCGGAATTGACAGAAATAATTTTAGATGCAAATATCTCAATTCTTTGTTTAAATTGATTAGCTGGAAGCAGTTGGTCATGATTTCAAAACGAATCGAATGTAATGACGTTACATCATCTATAGCACCTACTGTTGTAGGCTCTGATTTTGTTATGACCACACCATCTGTAAAAACATCTTCAACTACAACACATAATCCACCAAAACCAAACCAAATATATAACGTAACAACGCCAATGACTGAACGAGCAAATACAACAGAAGAAACTTCAAAAATAAATGCGACACAAAACAAGACGGATATACACGACCTATTACACGACGGTCTAACTAGTAATTTTGTTATTATTTTGCTATTTATCAATACGGTGGTACTGATACTGGCGTAATCATACTTATTTGCTCTTTCCTCCGATTGAGAATGCTTCGAAAAAGAGATTGGCCACAAGTTTTATACCGTGTTTGTCTAAAGTGAGCTATTTTCTATGAGGAGATTGGTTCCAAATAGTTCTTACTTAGTTCCAAATACTCCATTACATTTTCGGTTTATTTTTAATTCATTGATTAAAAGATTATATTTTAATTATATTAAAACTGATTTGAAATATAAAAATATGCATTTTAATTTCTTTGGTTCTTAAACTACTGTCGAATCTCTGATAAATCGATTTTCTTTCAAAAATATCGGAATCAATTTGAGCATATCATGGATAAACAACGGTTGATCAAGGTTCAAGGTTCTTTTTGGTCTACTATTAACAAAAATCACCGAAGGCTTCCTAATAGAATAAACTTTTGTAAATCTATGATCTTTTGTTTGGTTTGAACAGGTTCTTTTTTATACGTATGTTAAAAAAAATTATGAATTTGCTTCCATTATCAATTGCTTTCACTT